GTAGAGAATGCACATAGATGCATATCTATCGCCATGCACAGAACTCAAGTCCAAATGCATCAAAGACCTCAAAACAAATCAGTTTCACTGAACTTGATAGAAAAGAAAGTGGGAAGCAGCTTTGAACACACTGGCACAGGAGACCACTCCCTAAATATAATACCAGTAGCACAGACCCTGAGCAAAAATTAATAAATGGGACCTCTTGAAACTGAGAAGCTTCTGTAAAGCAAAGGGCATGGTAAATGAGACAAAACAGTAACCCACAGAATAGGGAAAAATCTTCACCAACCCCATATCTGACAGAAGGCTGATCTCCAAAATATATAAAGAACTCAAAAAACTAGACATCAAACTACCAAATATCCAATTTAAAAAAAAAAATAGGGTACAGATTTAAATAGAGAATTCTCAACAGAAGAATCTCAAATGACCAAAACACATTTAAGTAATTACTCAACATCCTTAGCCATCAGGGAAATGCAAATCAAAATGACCCTGAGATAGCATCTTACATCTGTCAGAATGGATAAGATCAAAAACACTGAGGACAGCTTATGCTGGAAAGGATGTGGAGTAAGGGGAACACTCTTCCATCACTGGTGGAAGTGCAAACTTGTACAGCCACTCTGGAAATCAGTATAATGATTTATCAGAAAATTGGGAATCAACCTTCCTCAAGACCCAGCAATACTACTATTGCGTATATTCCCCCCCCCAAAAAAAATGCTCAATCATACCCCAAGAAGACTTGCTCAACTATGCCCATAATAGCATTTATTCAGTCTGGAATGCACTTCACCTGCTGGTGCTGCCTACACCTAGAGAAATTGCCACTGACATCACCCTAATCTAGAGAAATTGCCACTGACATCACCCTAATCTAGAGGCTCTCTCACAGATGTGGCCAGTGGTTTATCTCCTAAATGGATCAAATGCCTGTCAGCTTGACATTGTTAATCATAACTTCAAGGTTTAGATTCATGGTAACCAATGAGACTTTGGACTAGGAGAGACAGAGCAAGGGATGAAGTAACAAAGGGATGCCCACCCTGACCAGTGCCACCACTGCTCGTGTGTGGCTGCTATGCAGGGATCATCCACCTGCTGAAGGCTGTATTGATCACTCCCAGAACAGACTGGACATCCCTGAAGACCAGAAACTATCCAGAGAAAGGGGTGATATCTGGTAGAGATCTCCTTCTAGGGCTGCTTCCTCATTGGACTGGGGTTCCTCCATCAGACAGGGAGCGAGCTGCTAGGGGGCCCTGTGCTTCTCCCATCAGACTCCCTGAGGGAGAAGCTGTGCTCCCCCACCACCCTGAGCTCCACAAAGCCAGGGCTGCTGCACCCTCCTCCCCTTTCTCAAACAGCTGCCAGTTTCAAGATGTCCTTCTCTTCCTCTGCAGACCGTGCTCAGGAAGTCCTGTCTTCCCAGGTCTCTCCTACAAGAATGTATACCAGAAAGTGTGGCGGCGTGAAGGGGAGTCTCTGACTGTGCTGAGAGCAAGGCTTAGTGAAGGTCAGGAAGAAGAAGTGTGAGTTAGCTTCATCTGGAGCTGGGTGAAGGGGCAGGATGATGCCAAGGCCAAGGTCCACATCACCATGGTGGCCCTCAGAGTCCAGGATTCTGGTGGATATTGGTGCATGTGGAACATGGCTGGGAATGTCAACCTATTGGTGGGTTTCTGGCTGAAAGTGTATCCAGGTGAGCTGACCCAGCCAGAGCTGGGATGGGTGGGGTAGTATAAGAATGAGTGGTTCTTCACTATGGACAACTTCCTGTTACCATTTTAATGACAAAGAAAATGAATTTTATCAAATTCTGTGTGGCTCTGGCCTTGCCCTGTGTGGAGAAGAAATGGAACTTGGGACCATGTTGTGTTTTCAGTTGTCCAAGCATCATATACTCATTGTCAGGGTGTGCCTGGCACTGTTACAGGCTTTGAGAATATAACATTATACACTCAATGTCAGGATGTGGCCGGCACTGTTCCAGACCTTGAGAACATAACGATGAGCAAAACCAGCCACAGTCCTTCCCTGTGGGGAGCCCTGACAGTGGAGGCATGTTCTGTTTTCAGGTAGAGAGAGGAAGAAGGCAGTTGAAGTGTTAATGATGGGACAAAACTGGGGTGTGCACTTGGAAGTGTCTCTGTGAAGAGAGTCAAGGGCATTTAAAGGTCACGGCTAGGGCTGTGGATGAGACTGTAGGATAAGGGGTCTCTCCAGCATATCTCAGTACAGCTGCCCATCACAACAAAGGGGATAGGAAAGATTCTCTCCTTTCCTATTCATAGGAAAGATGAGAGAAGAGTCCGAACAAGATGGGGTCCCCACACTTAGAGGACAGGAAATGGTGGGGACCCAGGAAGTGTCTGGGGAAAGCCACCCATTGTTATGAGTTCGCCCTCCACCTGCCATGCCCTGCACCCCTGACCTGAGTGCATCCCCATCCTCCCTGGTCTGAACCAGGAAGAGCTTTCCCTCCCAGCTGTGGTGCTGAATCTCATCCTGTGCTCTAGCTCCATGCCAACCAAGAAGCAGGAGAAACTGACCGTGGGGTCTTCATTTGTCTGGATGCCATCAGGAAATAGGTTTATTTTTCTGTAATCACTTCTCTTAGCAGCATGTGTGTGCGTGTGTGCGTGCATGTGTGTGTGTGTGTGTACACATGTGTGTGCTCTGCCTGTGGTGGCCAGAGAACAACTTCAGCTGTCATTCCCAGGTGCCATTGCTCTTTTACTTTCTTTGAGCCAGGGGTTGTGATGAGCCTAGAACATGCCAAGTAAGTTAGGCTATCTGGCTAGTGACCCCAGGAATTCCCCTGTCCGTGCCCCCAGCATGGAATTGTAAGCTTGTGCACCATGCTTGGGTTCCTGGGGCTGAACTCAGGTCCTCATGGTCACTCGGCAAGCACCGACTGACTGAGCTGCCCCTCAAGGTCTTAATTTTCTGCTTTGCAAGGGTAATTGATCTTGGGGAGGCTTCTGCTTTGCCCATGTTTTCAGTTGAGAGAAAAAACAATCTCCTGCCCATGGCCATGTGACACAGTGGGAAAAGACACTTGATGCCAAACCTGACAATCTGGGATCCCTGGGCCCATGTAGTAGAGGAGAGAACTGACTGCTACAGGACCTTTGATCTCCATATTCATATCAGGAATGTGCGTCACCTTCAATAAATAAATGAAAATGTAAAAATGTACTTAAACCTCAGCCCAATTACAGCTCTAAGAGCAGGGTGTGCAACGCCCCAGAAACCAGGCCTTGTAGCCCAGGACAACTGAGTGGGGACACAGCTGCTCTCCTGCCAGGCTCCTCCATCTTTTCCCTCCCTACATTGTTATTCAGGCTGCATTGCTCAGAACAATGGCTCAGACCTCCCTGCATAGCGACCACTGGACTCAGGAATGTCTTTTCCATGCCTTGTAAGGGGAGGAGGGGTTTTGTAAGTCTTTCTCTGTCTTGCTCCTGCTGAGATGGACCTGTGAGTCCCCACAGGACTGAGAACTCCTGACTGCAGTTCCCACATGCTGTCCAGACCCCAGACTGCTGTTGATGAAATGAGTTAGGATGATGTCAGGGGGCAGGACCTGCTCCTGGGTGTCGATGTGTACCCTGAGGAGGGTGACTGACCACATCTGTTTGCAGTATTCTCTTGAATTTGAAACCCTTGACTCCTCCCTGTCCCCAGTTCTAGCCCCATCTCACAATTATGAAACAGCTGCCTTTGTACAATACCATATTATAGAAATATCTCTTAAACTCCAAAGGGGCAGTGAGTTGGCTCACTGGGTAACAGCACTTACAATCAAGCCTGGGGACCTGGTTCAAACCCCAGGACCCAGAAGATGGAATGACAGAACTGACTTCTGCAAGTTGTCCCCAAACCTCCACATGTGTTCTGTGGCACATGTCCACACACAGATACGCACACTTACATGCTAAGTAAATGTCATTTTAAAGGAAAGTTCTTTGGTGCTCTTGATTGACCCGGGAGCTAGGAAGTCAGATGACACTGTGCTGGGGACCAGCCCTGACAGGGGAGGCTGAAGAGAGTGTCCAGTGTCTCTCTTCCTCACGTGTCTACTTCCTCTTTCCTGTCTCCCTCTGAAACAACACACAGCTGACACTCAGAAGTCAAGCCCAAAGTCACGGAGGGCAGATTCTCCTCAGTATCTGTGCAGCTGAGGGGCTGTGAGGTCTGTCTGTGGAACTCAAGTCTCTGGCTTAATCTAATATTTCCTCCTCTCTGGTCCCTCAGCCCTCACAACTGAGAGAAACCTTCGCACACATCTAACCAACACCCTTGAGAGTGGATTTGTCACAACGGGCCAGGTCCCCATTTCAGGCCCTCATGTGCCCTTCACCCATGACGTGACTGTCTTCACATCTGGACTCCTCACCTTGGCTTCAGGGACCACGGAGCCAACCCCTGTGACAAGCCACAGTTTCACCAATTCCAGTGGCACCATCACAGAGCGCGGGAGGAGCACAAAGAACCAGCCAGTGACCATGTCTCCTAGCAATGCAAGACCCTTCTCTGCTGATCCAGTGACCACCTCCACCGAGTCAAGACACCTGAGCAGCAGCTTGTCCACCACGGGGATGTACCACCCGTCAACCCCCAAGAGGTCATGTGATATTCTCTCAGGCGTGGCCCCAGCTCTCAGAGTCCAACAGATCTCAAGAGGCGGCTCTTGAGTCCATTCTTACTCCCTATTGCTCCCCAGAAACTCAGTGAGATCACTGCTGTTCAGCAGTGGATTATGGGAAATGGAAAGGGCCTTAAAGGAAGGAAATGGGATGAGGGTCAAAACTAAGGATGGAGAGGAGAGGGCAGGGCCAGGCGAGGGACTGAGGAAGGGAAGTGTGGTTGTTTTACTTGGGTTCCCCCAGACCCTGAGACAAGGAGCAGCATTTTACTCTGGCACCGGGAAGAGGGTGAGGTGTCCCAGAGAATGGAAGTCAGCTGGCACACCATGCTGAGGCAGCCTCTGCTGTGCACACAGGAGCGTCCTCCCACTGGGCATCCAGTGTCAGGTGCCACCTTCTGTTCTCCACTGGTGGGGGCAGCATTAGGGCGCCAACACAATGGGAGTGCAGGCCCTGGTGTCACGTGGAGAGGGAGCTTTTGCAACAGAAAACAGGGTGGGGGCAAGAGGGGTCCTCAGTCACTATGGAGGCAGCAATCTTGATGTCGTGAGCCCCGTAGGGCCATTGTGAACTACCCTTGTCTTCACTGATGGGGGTGGAGGACATGCTGGAGGAGAGGTGACAGCGGAGATGCTGCCTTCTGCCTGCTGACTCTTCCATGACTCCGCTGTCTCCTTTTCTCTTCCCACAGCTCATCCCCAAGAGGGGGCATCTACCTGGAGGTAGCGCTGTGAGGTTACCCACTGGGTAACCTCTGTGCTTCTGTCTGCCAAAGGAAGCTGTGGCCAAGGTGGGGACCCGGTCCTTACTCTCTCCTGTCCTGCCTCCTCAGGTCCCAGGAGACTTACCTCACTGTGACGATGGTAGTCCTGACATTCCTTTTGACGCCTGTGGTGTTGGTTATGGCTTTTGGGAGAAGAGGCACATGGGAAGTAAGTACAGTCACCCCTGAAAAACCAGGGCCAAGATCTGTGTCCCTACTCTGAGGATTATGACTCTGAGACTTTGGCTGGGGAATAAACCTCTGCCTGTGTCCAGTCAAGATGACCAGGGACATCCAGGGAGGAGGACGGTGGGTAGGCATGGGTGGTCCCACATGTCCCTTATGGGGATGAAGGAACAATACAGAAGCCAGAGAGGGTCAAAGGTCACCCAGGACATTGGGGCACTGAGAGCAGGGCATGGCCTTTCTTCATCTCTCCCTGTTTGTTGTAGGCTACAGCTTGGGCAGTGACTCTGCTAAACCCTGGATATATCTTCCTGAAGGACCAGAGACACTGTGGAAACCTGCTTGGTATAAGATAACTCAGTGATCTGGAGAGCTGATGCCAATGGACTCAGAGGCCAGAGAGGACCGAAGCCCAGACAATGGCCCTAGGGCAGGAACACAGTACAGCTGCCTTCCTTTCACCCAGGACCACCATGTCCTCAGTTTCCCTCTGTTCCCTACAAACGTCTCCATATCTTTGGAGACAAGAGCCAGACTCATGAGCCCTCGGGCAGCCAGTGTCTATAGAGTCCTATTCTGGATGAGAAGGGACAGAGACTAAGACCCAGGATCACAGAGGAACTGGTACCAGGAGGTCCCAGAGCTGACCAGGGCCAGGAGTCTTCTGATGTGTCGTGACTATGGCTGCTGGTCCTCTCTGTCCTGGAAGTCTGAAGTTTACTCATGGCACTTGTTTCCTGTCTGCCAGCCTCTCTCAGGTCAGCGAGAGACCAGCTACAGCCTTTCCCAAGATGGCTGCAAAGGCTGGGCTCCCTGCCTCCAGTTGCTTCTCCCATGTGATGAGCTCATGCAGGAGA